GCACTACTGTAGACTCGTTGTTCGCAACAGTTGAAGATTGTAGCTTTTTGTTCGAGCACCGGCTAGGTTTCAGCGGTTTCAGCGGTCCCCTATTGCTGTCGGTTTATAGTGACTGAGGTGTAAGAACTTGATTTTAGCTATTATCTTCACCATTTAAATAACGCACAAATTTTTTAATATGTATGTGAATGTGTGGATGAAGGTTTTCACCGTTCAGTATTGTCGGAACGTTTTGGTGATACTGCAAAGCGGTGAGTTGAACAGTCAACTTTAGGAGGTGGATGGAAAATCGTCAAATGTTTAACGTTTGGGTGCAAAAGGATTTTTATTTTGATTTCGTTATAAGGAAATCTGTAGCTAATCCAAAATTTAAACTTTTTCTGTGTGTATTTAGTTGATCATCTTCCCATTAGGGACGACAATACACACCCCTTAAATAGTGTCAAAGTTCACTTGCTATTTTCAGCTACTGTCTTTTCTTTATTTTTATTTTTTACTGCATTAGCGGTAAAAATAAAAACCAGTAATCGTCTTCACTTCTATCCTCGTTTTTTTTTTTTATTTTAACAAAAACTTTAACACTGATATATTATTTTGATTTTGTTGTCGTTATTTGTTTCCCACTTTTTTCATGTTCTCGTTTCCTTTTGTAATGATAACAAGAGGTCGTTAATTAGGATGTGAAAAGCAGCGGAAAAAAAAGACTATAAAGCGGTAGAATTCACAGGATCTTTCGGTGTACAGCAAACAACAACAACAAAAATAAAAACATATCTATTATCATACCAGTGCAATTAAATTAATTTGATTGGAACATTGAAAAAATGAAAGGTAATTTGGTAAAAAATTGAAGGTAATTTTTTATAAACTAAGATTTTCTGGATCTTGGTCATCCCATTAAAAATACTGCAAATTTCATTCACTTTATCAAGCACAGAGCAGTATTTCAAACGCTTCTTCTGTTGGGTAAGTGACCATTTGGTTTCGCTTTATTTCACTTAATCGTTCAAGTCAGTAAATTTTTATATGGTTTTCATGATGCCATTTGTTTGTAGTTTTTTGCTTTAGCGCATTTATTGAGCTTTGTCAAAAACACCTGGTTAGCAAATAGAATTGTGAAAAAGAAATTTTGATTTTCAAGATTACAATTCAACCAGAACGGCAACAACAAACTACAGCAACGACAGCAAAAAAAAAAAAAAAAAAAAAAAAAAAAAA